ACTGTAAATTCAACTCATTTTGGATTGAAGGTATCCTTTGTATATGTTATGTCATGGATAGATTAACATTTTTCAATCACACTGCATGTGACCCCTTGTAAAGTAGAATTTTTGTCCTGGTTAAGAATTGACCTGGGGGATGTCATTTTTTTCAATTTCGAACATCGAGACCAAAGACGTTGAATTGAAAACCTAGTCTGTTGTAAACCGGGACACGTCGTGGAATTTTGATCATGAAACCAGTTCTATTTTAAGCAATACATAGTAATGAATTCATAACTATAATTTATTAAATTAACACTTAATTAAACACATAGATGTATTCCATTTTCAGTGTGTATATTAACATGTTAGTATCTTCTATTTTGAATGGACAATCTGTACAAAAAATAGAGGACTCCAATAATATGCAGCAATGAAATTTGGGCAAACTTAATTCATACAGAACTGTCATAGTTTTACGGTAAGGATGCTGTAAATAACAACAGATATACAACTCTAAGAAGAAGTGTAGAGGGGTTCTGGAAATCACCATTCTTTTACGTGATCTTTGATATTTATTTATTTATTTATTTAAAGCACTAACTACCAGGTATGATTCAAGAATCGCTCCAAAATACTGTGCAGTTAAGTAAGTGACGTCTTTAGTAAGGGTGTCGCGGCCTCAAACAAACAAAAATTAATTTGTATACCGATCAATCACACCTATGTAAATTCGGAATGATGCCAGTCCTATTTTTTTTAATTCTGGTAAAATAGAATCTTTGAAACTGACGCTTAAGCGGATAAATATAAATCATTTAACACAACTTCCCTTTCAAAAATATAGTTCAAACTCATAATTACAAAGCTGTTGAAAAATGACCCCAGGTTTAAATTTTACGAATATTTGTCTCAATTATTAGCCGTAGAAAAATTAAAGAATTGCGAACTCTAAACTCGGGTCAATTTTCTAAGTTACATCTGATATCATGGTTATTTTTTTCGCGAAGAAATGTATAGCTAGAACAGTCCTTTTTGCAATTCACATGTAATTTAGTATTTTACAGATAGTTTAATTTATATATAAGATGAAGTGTCATTGTCTTACTTCAATAAATCCTTTTTTTTCCAAAATGTTTTAGTCAGGAGAATGTGTCTGCTTTGAAGGCCCCGTTTTTGCAGAGACCATCTCATCAGATCAGTGCAATAGCTCATGTTATGATGTCCGAGATGAAGAAGAAATTAAATTTTTAGAATGTGGAGGACCGAATGCATATACTTTATATACTTCAGGTATTTTAAATTCACTTCCAGCATTTCAGTTTCATAATCAAAAAATATTTACTTTATGTTTTTTTTCATTCTATTCATAAACATTCTTCTAAAATCCATCATCTTCTTTAATTTAAATGAAAGATATTATGGTCCATTTTTAATTGTAGAAACATTTTCGTTAATGCGAAACCTCTTTTGTTCGATTGAACTTAATGTCCACTTTAAAGAAATATGACTTTACAATTAAATAAATAACCTTTTTTATTTAATGAGATTTTAGCAAGTTTAAAGTGGAAGGAGACTGGCATTGAATTGAACATTAAATGAACTTAAAAATGTGTGTTTGCGGGGAAACGGTATATGTGTGATTTTGCGTTAGAAATAGGAAATGGTCTTATGCGTTAAAATGCGAGACTGCGGCGAAGGGAGTTAACAAAGATTTGTAAAGTTATGGTAACTATAACTAGTGGTAATAAGGTTGAGAAATCATTGAAACAATATAGCATATGAGATATATATGTAACTATTTCCATTTTCAATTAATCTCGACTTAATTCAGACATGTCGTGGATTTCTATATGTTTAGCATCCTAGTACATGTAAAGAGATTACAGACATAAGAATTACCCGCATGGGGCAATGGTTATCCAGGGCCAGCAATAAATGGTAGCGTCTAAGTGTCGGTAAAAAGTCTCGAAGGAACGTTTAACAAACAAACAAACAAACAGACAAGAATCCAATGGGTCAGATCTACTTGAGTTACCATGACTCCACTGTTCTCCCTCTGTATATATTAACGCTGCATATTCCTTTTTTAAAAATTACTACATAATTTATTTTTATTGGGAGTCATTAATTGAACAATTTTAAAACCGTAATATATGAGAGTGTTTCCATAAAAATATGACGATACGTTAGTTCATTGTTTATGAGGGAAAGTGTTATTTTAAAATCCTCTATATTCTTATGTCGATTTTGTTCTCATATTTTGCAACAGTCTATCAAAATCATGAGTTGAAAAAAAGCTTGAATCTAAACTATATTAAATTTCATCCATGATAGTACAACTACCATAATAATTAGCTGTTCTTGGAAAGAAATTTTTATAGCTTATTAAAATATACGCTGTCTTCCAGTATGAAACGTTCTTTGTTCATTATAGTGTTTACTCTTCCCCCAGTAGTTATGATTTAAAAATTTTCAAGTTACACAAACTGGGGATGCTTTTATGTAAATATGACTATAATAATATTTTGCTTTTTTGAGAATAATTATAGTTTAGTGAGAAGATTTTTAAAGGTGATATTAAAATTTATCAAAACGTATTACATAACCCGCATAAGGAGATGTGATTCTCCATTTGAACAAACTTGAATTCCTTCACACAAGGGTGCTTTGGAGCAAGTTCGGAATGATAATTGTTCTTGGGAAGTTGAATACGTGAATAATTCACAAACGACTGATCGACAGACGACGGGCAATCTTTGTTCCAAAAAAGGGTTCACTTGAGTTTCCTGCTTAGGTGAGCTGAACAGTGTTGTTTCAAATAACAATTTTATAAATGTAACAAAAAATATTTCTTTTAAAATTTATAGAAGCCGACAAAGTTAAACAAGGGTCGACATGTGTTGCAGTAAACTGTGGTGGTTCTGTGCAGGAGTTTTCATATTCTTCAAATTGCTCTGAGTCATATTTTGGAGCATGCGTCCATAAAGGTAATGTGCAAGTACACGTTCAGGATTAAAATAAGAGATATCTTTGCATACACCGTTCTCCTTAAACACCAGTATATTTAGCTTGTAAGGTACTCGAATATTTAGAAATCTCATAAAATAGTCCATCATTTCTCAATCTTTCATAGCGAAGCGACTTTTCAAATAAATATGACCGATTCGGTCATAAAAAATAAAAATTTACACCACTGGGACTTACCTGTGAGTAAGGTTTACAGAATTCCTCTGAGTTTCCTATACCTGGTATTAAAATAAAAACCGCATGTTAGCATATATCTGCCATATATTCCATTAAACGGAGAGGGAAATCATCAAAATCAACAAAATATTTTCAGCTTTCTTCATATATCAATTTTGCCTTCACTTCTAATCTAGAACAAATATCTCTCAGGCCAGCATTATTTTTGAATTTTCAAGTTTACAAACATCAAAATGAAAACTCCCCTAGGAGAAGGAAATAAAAGAAATAAAATTATAATTTTTTTTTTTTTTGATAAATAATAGACTATTATTCTACCTATATTGATAATATCCGAATTTAATTGGCTGGAAAGAAAGCTTTAAAACACAACAATGACTCCAAGTTGTACTGTTTACAGCAATAATGATCTAGGAATCACTGCACGGGGATATATTACCCGGTCATTATTATTATTAATGACCGCTTCATAATGACCTCTTTATCAAAAATTTCTTTTTAGTGAAGTTATTGTATAAAATGATAAGTATACAAGAAAACAAAATTTTAAAATTGTGAATGGTCTGTTTTGTATTACCATACAGAATACAGTAAAATTTTATCGTAAACTTAAACGGTTTACTCATTTCAAAATATCGTTACAATTCAATGGAATGTAGAAGCGACTTTTTAAAGAGTTGAATTCTGTGTTAGATTTTAACTGTAGAGGAAAAGTAATCGCTAGTTTTAACAATGTATGTCGCTAGCAATCAAATATTGTTTTAATCAGTAAATCATGATACAAAAACTTACACGATTGCAGACGTCAAGCAATCACTATATGGAGTGTAGCGAATCCCGATCCCGATCAAAGAAAGATATTGATAACGGTTAGAGATTCATACTTTTCAATATATATATCGGTATAATAAAACAATTGATTACTCCTTGTGAGTTGAACATGATGAAATAAGGACCTGGCCCACTCAGTGATCTGCCCTGGCCTTGTCCGCTAGGCGGCCTCGGTCAGGCCAGGTCACCTCTTGGGGTCCTTATTTCACCATATTTACCTCAAAAGGGGTAATTAATTGTATTTTGTACATTCATTTACACTTCTTTTTTGTTGCTCTGCTGATAGACTTCTACTGGACTCAAAGTGCTTCAAAATAGGAAAATGGAGCTTTTAATTGTTTATTTCATCGTCTGCATGTTGGGGCCATGCAGCGATAGAATTTTTTTTATGTTGGTAAAAGAACCATAATTAAAATACATCTTCATTATTTCAATATGTGTTACATGAAGGTGAACGTGTAGAAATTGTTCTGATATGTACGTGAGACCTTAATTAATAATTTCCATCATAAAACAGACCGGGAGTATTGGGGAGTAAGGTGATTTTTTAAGAGTTGATATACTTTTTCTGGCTGCCGCATTCGAAAAAAATTCTACGTGCCTGTATATAGTTGTACATACTTGGTTTTTAAAAGTTGAAATATTTCATTTCATTAGGCTATTATTTATTTCTTCCTTAAATGGACTTAACTTCCCCAATAGATATAGTTTTATTAATTATATCTGATGTACAAACGATCCTGTTGTAAAGAGTGATGCGTAGACTGTAAGCTATCACAGAGACCTAAACAAAATCTACCATTGGCAATTTAAACTTGTGGGAGGAAAATAATTTACTGACAGATACTTTTGGATACGAATACATACATGTAATTATCTCATCAAGATGCCATTGTGCAACAAAGTCGTCAACATTTTATTTGGTCTTGAGCGGATGAAACGTTTTGAATGGACTCCTACCGATAAATTTCACATAAACCAATAATAAATGTTATGGTGCATCTATTTAAGTTGCAGATTTACCTTTATTTTCCGCCAAATTCATCTTAAAACCGGACGTACGAGCTCGTAAAATTTGAAATCTCAATGCCCGACTCAAATTTGACATCAGATAGAAAAAAAAATCTGTTTTTCTTTTTCTTTTTTTTTTTTTTTTTTTTTTTGGTTTGTTTCAAAAAATTCAAAAATTTGAGGGGCGGATTGGTAAACCTAAAAATAAAAAAAATGCTAATCTCAACTATCTATGGTGGCATCTGATGTTGACAAAAAATATGTGGATGGTCATGCCACAATACCGAATAAATAAATGACAATTCTATAAAAAAAAAATATGGATTTCAATTGAATTCTGGTTTTCAAGAAAATATAAAGTGTTAAACCCTCTCCGTAATTTTTTTCTACAGTAAGAGTGATCTGCCCTTTGGTGTAAGTTTAAATACATAGAAATTTTCAAAATATTACTGAATTTGTAATCAATTTAAGTCTTCTTAACATTTCAGAAGTCATTAAGTAATTCATTGAACATATTAATTACATGTATTTTCTCAATGGAAGTATACAACAGTGATTTTTGTTCATTAATACATTGTTGTTTTGAACAGTTTTCCTTGGTGTAAATGCCAGGTACCATATGTTGAAAATTGAAGAGATAAGCTCAATGTTTACTCCTATATTCAATATGTATTTTTCGCAACGTCCAAAACTTTTTTCATTAATGTGGAGAGGGTTCTTATGTTCGAGAGCAGTTAAAGAATTGAAGAGCAATATCAATATGATCTTTTCATCGATTTCGTTCCTGTATTTAATAGAGTATCTAGGATGTTTTGAAGACCAACCAAATAGAATCTTATCTGGAATCAACCGTAAAGATGACTTTGACTTGACTGTAGAAAGCTGTAGGAACTTCTGTACAGATTACCAATTCTACGGAGTTGAGGTTCGCATTTTGCTTTTACGGGGGAAATTTAATCGCATTTCTCTGCAAATCCGTCTGTCAGCCATTCCGTCTCTCACACAAACTTTAACCTTGGTTGTAACTATTGAATATAAGGATATGACTTTCTTATTTCACATAAGCATTACCCGTGACAAGCTTTAGACCTTGACATAGAAGTTTTTTTAAATTAGCATTACTTGAATACTATCATTTCTACTCCTTGACCTTGACCTCCATGTTTGACCTCCACGTTTCAAACATTTAAACTTTGATGATAACTTTTGCATGATATTTGAGAAGTCATTCATTTTTTTTTACATGATATGCCATAAATGAGGGCATCCGATCCTTTAAGACACCGACGGTTTGGGGACTACAATTCTTTTAACTTGCTTGTTTCTTCAATTGAGTTACAATTGGGTAATGATACATTTTTCACTGAGGAGAAATACCTAATCCCACTAAGAACTATGAAGTTTCTTTTATTTACAGTTTGGTGGAGAATGCTTTTGCGGGAATTTTTTTACTTCATTTATCAAAAAGCCTGAAAGAGAATGTAACAAGAAATGTACTGGTGACACAACCCAAACTTGTGGTAGTGCCGATAGGATCAACATTTACAGTAATCTAAACTACAAGACAGGTATTTTTCAAGAAAATATGAAAGCATTTTCTTTGCATCTATCCCACTTTCCAGCTTAACTGAAGTAGTAGGCAATATATAACATTGTTTCATTAGATAAAGTAATATCATCATACTCCTTTTCATCTTCCTATCCCCTTCGTTGATGCATTCTTCTTTTAATTCATTAACTGACAAAAAGATTGAAAAATGAAATATTTTATCAGAGAGGAATGTTTTCTACCTTACATGTACTTTGTCTCATTTTCCCTGTATTATTCCTGTATTTATTTTTCTTAAGATCCGTTCTGAAGAATGATATTATAGTTTTTACGGATTTTTCTTATAATTCAGTACTTAATTTCAAAAGTCAATTGAAAAAGTACAAAATTTTGAATGCTTTTGCGTATCGAATCAAGTGAGACATATGCTGGTAACAATAGAATATTGCTATTCAAATAAGGGAAGATGACCATAAAAAAATTCACTTGATCAAGTATAGCATGTTTAAATGTAGGCTGCCATTAAGGTTTATTTTTTGTAAAATATCCAAATATGAAAAATATGTGCCAGGCTCTGTAGTATCATTTTTTTAGATCAAAGAGATGTATTAAAATGAACTTTTTGTTGATAAAACATCGTGGAATCATCTTAATGTGGAATTGTGGATGAATCTAAATGTTGACTTAAAGGCCGCATACAGACAATTGATTTTTTCCCATGAAGAGGTTTTTAGAATACATTATGCTACCTATTAATACAAAATAGCTCTGTACTGTTATAACGCGACGCAGTTAATCAAAAAGGGATTCTAACAGATTGTTTGAAGACTTGATATCAAAAACATACATAGACAAAATCTAACCAAAAATCAAGCATATTTTTGATATCAACTTTGGAGTATCAACTTCAAAAAAAGTAACATAAAAGATTATTGTAACTTTTCAGATGACCTATGACAAGGTAAACAAATTTAGGAGTTATTTTTTTCTTGAAAAAGCAATGGCTATGTTATCAGAAATCCCGGCTTTTAATTCAGCGTTGGGAATTATTGTAAAAAGTGATAAAATCTTTTTAAATTATGAGTTTCTGTATTTTCGTTAGTAAATTCTACATAGGCAAGTCACTCAACGCATTAACATTAGATTAATAGAAAAGGAAATAAGACTTCAATTATTTTATAGAGGGGGGAGGGTGTGTGAAAATACTGGATGATCATTTTATTTGAGTTTATCGATATGTAGCTTATTGGTTTTATTTTGCTTAAAGATGTTACAACAAATACGATTTCAGGGCATTTCAATAGTAATGCACAACAGGTAACAAATTAACATATATTCCCGTCATTGGAAACCTGAATGTAAGTGAAAAGGAATACATTCAAGACAATTTTTGTGCTGAACAAACTACTGTAGATCACTTAATTTTAGCAACATCTTATTTTCGCGAGATAGACATTGACATTTACAATATTTGTCATTGCTTTACATGTAATTAAGAATAATAAATGTAATAAATTTGAAGGAATTCTATTATACGCAAGAATGAAATTTTTGCGTCTTTTGTAATTACGCGGAAATAAAGTTCTCGCGAATAAAAAGCATTTACAGCATTTCAATTGTTTAAAAATTGAGAAAAATCTCGACTTTCTTAAAAATTCAAGGTACGAAATTTTTTTGTTGCGTATTTTTAGGGTCAATTAAAATTTACATGAATTTCCAAGTTTTCATTATTCCCTCCATTTTTTAATTTGAACTTTATTTTGTGAAATACTAACACGTAAATATTAATCAATCAGAGATAAAAAGAAACTGGACATCATCAATGCAGATTTGCAAAACACGGTATCCCTCGTCGTACTTAATTGGAAACGTCTCCTTGACTGGCGCTACTTTGGCATGTAAACAATTACAAAGGAAACAGAGAGGTTTTACCTGGCTAAGCATCGCAAAAGAAGTGTACACTGGATATGATCGAGGTAAGGAAGCCATTATAACTTTTCTCTCTTTATTTTTCTTTTTAGCACTACACCACTCCTACTTGGATTTGTTATCTTTTGAATGTAACATTATTCATCTTTCTCATTCCCAATGAAAATCGCGTTCAACTACAAAATGCATCTGTTGTTCAAGCATAGAAATGATTGATTGATTGATTGTATATTGTTTTACGTCCCACTCGAGAATTTTCCACTCATATGGAGACGTCACCGTATGCCGGTGAAGGGCTTCAAATTTTGACCTTTATTCGGCACTCAGGGCCATTGAGCAGTGAGGGATCTTTATCGTGCCAAGCCTGCCGCTGACACGGGGTCTCGGTTTTTAAGGTCTCATCCGAAGGACCCGCAACTTTCACTTCAAAGTGCAGAGCGCATGGCGAAGGAACAGTTGCTACCCACTTCAATGACTAGGTCAGTCGCGGCCGAGATACTAACTCACGACCTCCCGATCACGAAGCGAGCGCTCTACCGACTAAGCTACCGTGAACGGTAGAATACAAATGAAACTTGACAAATATGTTTAATTATACTTTGACTTTTGTTCGACGTCTTTGTGATATTTAAGGGGAAATATAACAAAAATGCACCATTGTCTAAATAGTTATTGAGCAAACAATTATGGATTAAATATGTTCATCATTAATAATATTTAAAGCATGCATTCTATTACACTGTTCTATAGAGACAGATTCAATTATTTCTTACAGGTGTTGCAGTTTATATCCATGAAAGAGAAACGTTTCATCAATGCCAAAAATGCAACCGGACTGCCTGTGAATTTGTTGATTGTTTAAAAAAGCTGGATAATTTAATTTGTGGAAAGGTATTGATTAAAATTGCGTTTCAAACATTTTATTTTATTTCATCCTTTTCCCATAAATAACAAGTTATAATTTACCTTAATTCTATTCACATTTCATTGCAGACACATAAAATCAAAACGTTGATAGAAATTTTTATACTTCTTTTATGTCCATTTCCTTTTCTTTTCTTTACAGATACATTGACATTTTTTTTATAAATAAAATAACTATTATTAAATTTGCAAATGAAAACCATAAGTATGTTCTGTGCAACGTTTCGCTTGAACAATATTTGTCAAGATTTTATTAATATACTTTATTATCCGATAATTTTTTGTCAGGATTCGGGCATGGTAATACGTCAAAGGAGAGCAACAGGTAAGCTGCCAAATTAAGTTTCTGATCTGTTTGTTTGACTATCTTTAAAAGACGTTCAAATCAGAGATATGCTTTTCAAAAATTCATTACTTCCTTTTAAAAAAAATTATATATTTAGTCTTCAAGAGTCCGATACAACATTTTGTAGAATGAAAATGAAATTAAATCCATTTGTCTTTTGTTTTCAATTGCAGATTCAATCATAAACTTCCGCATCATCATTCCTTTATCCTTAATTACCATCATTGGTTTTGGTTGTTTAGTAATAGGAATTGTTTGCTACAAACGGTTTGTACCAATTTTAATTTTGCAAAACAAAATACATTTCTTTTTGCTCAGAATACACGCTTCATTTATTAAAAATTGCTGCACAAATGTTCGCCATTAAAACTCTCTTTATTATCTGTCGTCAATTCTTTTGTGTGTTTAATAGCCGGAAGTCGAATCAAAAGAACAAGAAGACCGCACATCATCTTGAAAATCCCAATGAAAATTTCTATGCAAATGAAACTCATGCGAGGAACATGTACATGTATCATGATACTAATTCTGAACGGAATCCGAAATCAGAAAATTCTGAACAAGTCAATGATGACATTTATAAAGAATCTATGGACGGTGAATATGACCATCTGAGAGGTATTGAGGCAAGGAGACACAAGCCTGAGGACGTATATGACCATGCTCCAGTTGTAACTGAGCAAGAATACGCTTACGGAGGATATAACGTCAGTATTGCAGGAGACCAACAACAGTTAGAAAATACTTATGACCACACTTCGTCTTTTTCTGATTATGGGCAAAGTAATGAAGGACCGCATACAATATACGACAATTGTTCTCAAGTCCATAAAGTGACTTAAACGTACTCTGCATAGAATAAAAAAGTTAGTTCAGTTTCTTTGTATACATATATATTATTAAAAGACCGGTCACGGTAGCCTAGTGGTAGAGCGTTCGCTTCGTGATCGGGAATTAGATTCTCGTTCGCGGCGCCGCGTCATACCTAAGACGGAAACAAAGGTAGTGACTGTTCCTTCGCCAAGCGCTCGGCACTAGAAGTGAAAGTCAGGGTCTTTCGGATATGACCTAAAAAACGTAGGTCCCGTGTCGCGGTAGACGCTAAATACTGCTATGAGTGATATAAATTTGAAACCGGCCTACGGTGACTTCTCCATATGAAAAAAAAGGGACGTTAAACAAATTCAATTTCAATATATTATTAAAAATATCGTACTCATTTGAATAAGATCTGTGTATTACGTTTATCACATATTACATTGATTTCTTTGAGAAAGTTCTATTATAAATATATGATGATTCAAATAAAACTTTATAAAAAAAAATAAATTATTTTAAAGTCACAGTATTTACGTAAACCCACGTAGCGTCCGTTTAACTCTCAATGGTTTTTCATATGCCCAATGGCTCACATATTGACTTAATCTGGCTTTCAATGACGTATAAGAATCTTATTTCTGGGAACAATTTATTTATAAGAATTAGAGGTTTCTTTTAGATCATATGTGGGCGAATGTTTTGGTAACTATTCATAATTCCTTGTCTTTTTTTTTGTATCTTTAATAGATATGTTTAGATAACCAAAGTTGCTAATAAGTTTAAGAGAATTATAATGTATAAATATTTTATGCCTGCCTGCCCAACTTCCGTATAAGAAGAAGAATCAACTACCATATAAAGAATAAAAATGGTCATTTATTAAGGAGGACAAATCATAAGAACTTCACAATACATAATAGCATATAAAAAGTCATAAAAAGACATTGCACAAAAAATGATGTGACAGGTACAAAAAATCTAACACTCCTTCAATAAATGACAATAAATCAAAAGACATATATGTACACAAAATACTACAAAACTATCACGCATTTGTATCCTGAGAAATGGACTGAGTAGTAAAATTATTATGCAACAAAATTTTGGCCATTGAAAGGACTAGATATACAGTATGATCTAAACAAAGCAGTGATATGGGGTGTTCATCTGCCACCTTAACAAGGTAGGCTATTTCAGTTCACTAACATCTGTCATGTCATACATATACATTTCATACATAGGCTGCCTTGTTAACGCCCCATATCTAACTTCCATTAGCAATGCATATGTACATAGGAAAAAGACTTGCACCGGATATAACGTACTAAGCATAAAAACAATAATGGAAGGGTGCAGTGTACTCCCCTTAAAAATGATATGAACTCAGAGCCCCTGTCTCCAAGTATGATGCAGTCCAATTGACAACATGTAGCCCCTGTCTACATGGTTGTGTTTGTATTGGATATGAAGCCCCTGTCTTCACAATCCTAATGGAAACACTTGAGTTTCTTAAAATTTTAGAGTTGGGATTCTAATATACTTTTTAAAAGCAGACGAATTCCATCTGCCCATACATTGAATTTGTAGTTCGGAGAATCCAAGTGAGGCAGCTGTAGTGGCAGCACCAATGCGGAAACTATGTGTGTTGTAACTTTGTAAGTCTAGGTTACAGAAAGCTAAAGCCGATCGCAACTGCTGGGTAAAGTACTGGCGAGAGATAGGCAAACCGTCCATAAAAGAAAACAAAGGTTCTGCATGGGAAGAATGCTTTCTGAGGTTCAGGTAATGCAGCAGAGCTTTGTATGGGCACACTAAAGGGTCCTTAGTATTTTGTTTCAAGCGAAGTGTTGTATTGTTTGCCTTTGAGTGTTTGAAGTGGGGTATATTTATGTCGATGAACCTGTTCTGTGGACTGTCGCTCCCTACCGTCACGTTTCCAAAGAGTAGAAAATGTTGAGTTGTAGTGTTTGTTTTCGTTATTTCTCCGACTCGTAAGAAGGCACAAAATGGAAGGGTAAACATGGCACGTAAAAGTGATTTCATGAAATCCGATGAAGTGGTGAAATCCAAAGCCTGAATGAGTTTCCTCAACACAACTGGGGTTATTGGAAGCCTTGGGTCAGATGTTGGTTTGGATTTACGGTATCCCTGTAGCATTTTGCGGATGATGAAATGCTGTGTTATATCTGAATAGTTTCCATGTTGGAAGATGAAACTCAATGAGGATACTACTGTGGAAGTGGTAGATGCGGCAAAACCTTTCTGGTAGCAATGAGCAACAAAAAGTGATAGGTGTTGAACACAAGGTGGTAGTGGGGATGCTTGATTCCCAAAAGTCTGTTCAATAAAGCATTTGTATGATGAAAAGGCTGATTTGTAAGCCAATAGAGTCCACGGCGATAAAGAATTTCGAACCAATAGGTCAGCTGTACAGGTCAGATCTTCACTAAACTTGAGGGGACTGGTGTTGGTCCGCTGTCCATATGAGGGAAGCGTGCCAGAAATTCCTTCACCTGCAAACGAGAAAGTAAGTCAGCAGCTGTATTAGATATTCCTTGTATATGTTTGGCCTGGAAATGGATATTGTGTTTAAGTGAAAGAACCATAAGACGCCGCATCAGTTGCATAAGATGGGGGTCTTTTGAGGTATTTTTGTTTATAACGTGCACAACAGCCATGTTGTCTGAATGTAGAACAACCGTACAGTTTTCCAAAGAAAGGGCCCAAATTTCTAATGCGATGACAATAGGTAGGAATTCTCGTATTGAAATATGGTATTCTAACCACTCTGCAGTGAACTCATGGTAAAACCACTTTGTACGAAAAGTGCATCCGAATCCTATGTTACTTGCATCGGTGAAGAAATGCAGTGAAGAGGAAGAATGAGTTATACCGGATGGAAAAAAGGCCCTGTCGTTAAAATGTTCTAAAAACACACCCCAGGCACGCAAGTCGGCCTGTGCCTGTAAGTTAAGACGACGATGATGGTATGGTTTCTTAAGGCCAATCGTTAGGTCGATGAGACGTCTCAAGAAAGTGCGACCGGGTGGTACGACGTTACACGCAAAATTCAGCATACCAATCAAGGACTGCAATTCTTTCAACGTTGCAGAATGCTTTGTCTGAAATTTTTTGATTTCTGCCTTTAATTGTGTTAATTTATCCAAAGGTAATCTGATTTTTATCTTCAGTGTATCTAACTCTAGACCCAAGAATGTGGGGGTAGTTGTTGGGTAAACAGTTTTAGCCGATTTGATAGGCAGGCCAATGTCTTTAGCTAGTTGGTAAAAATTAAGCTAGTAGAGCACTGTAACACTTTGAGGAGTTAGATGGACTTATGAAAAGAAAATCGTCCAAGATGTGTACACAATGCAAAACCGAAAATTTTGATTCAAGGATCCATTGAAGGGCTGAGCTGAATTTCTCAAAAAGGTTACAAGAATAACTTAGGCCAAAGGGTAAGGTTTTGTCGAAATAATACTTGTTGTCCACCATGAAACCTAACAGTTCAAAGTCATCCGGGTGAATAGGGATCTGTTTATAAGCATTTTCAAGGTCTGTTTTGGCTAACAAAGCACCCCTTCCCAATTGCTTGATTATTGTGACGGCGGTGTCTACTGACTGGTATTGAACTGTACAGTACTCTTTAGGAATGTTATGGTTAATCGAATCTCCTTCAGGGTAAGATAAATGATGGATCAATCGAAATTCCCCAGCTGCTTTTTTGGGCACCAATCCTAAAGGTGATATCTGAATATTTGGAAATGGAGGGCTCAGATAAGGTCCAGCGATACGGTTTGCGCTCAGTTCACTTATGAGCTTACTATGAAGAATTTCATCATTACCCTTAAGAGACGAGAGGTTTTTCGATATCCGAAATGCACGCTGACCCTGATATGGAATTTTAAAACCGAAAGTAAACCCTTGTATTAGAAATGAAGTCAAAGCTGAATCGTAGCCCTCAAGATAACTAGACAGTTTATCAACTCTAATCGGTGTTATGATGGTTTTATCCTTTTTACTTAGACAAGGGTGCTGGTTTGTTGGATGTGCTTGTAGGTTTTTTAGCATTTTGTTTTGAAAAACCTAGTTTTGAACGATTGTAGCACTGTTGGCGAGGGTGCTTTCCCGAATAGTACTGACAGATGTGCTGGTGGGGGCAGTTGATTTTGTTGCACGAGCCGAGATTGTTGTAGGAATAGCAGTAGTTACGCTGCTTAGGTTGGGCACGAAAGGGCTGCTTTTTGTTTTTTAGTTTAAAGTCTAACCCAGAAACTAATGCCTCCTGATACAACTCTATATTTTTCTTGTCCCAGTCACATGAGGAGGGTTCCTTTTCACGCCAACGCCGAAATTTTTCGTCATAGAGTAAGGCCGCTTGGTCCCCGCAAGAATCCGCAATTTTTTGCACTGTTTGTGCATATGTCATCAGTTTGCTGATTTCCAGGGGGGATTTTTCTGCATAGATCGCGACGAATATGTGGAAAGCCTCCACCCATTTGTGAATTGTTTTCAGCGGGCCTTTGTCATTTGATTTAACGAAGATTAACTGCCCATCTTTGTCTACTGACTTAAACTTTTCAGTTTCCTTATAATCGAGGTCTTTCGGCAATAGAGTAGAAAATTTTACAAACTCGTTGGCATGAATTTTTGCCCTTATCTTTACTTCAACCCCCAATGTCAGGCCGGTTGCTGGGTGTGGGTCCCCCTCTTTAGTAGGTTGGGTTAATGTGTTTGTATCTTGCGTCGTGATTTCCTCAAAGAGTGGAGGGTTGGGCGATACTGACTCCAAAGAGACTGACTCTGACGAGACTGGTTCCGAGGGTTTCGGTTGTGATGGCTGCTCAGGCTGCGTTTCTGTGGCAGATGTTTGTCCAGTTGTTTGACTGCTCCTGTTGTGGTAATCCGCCATACATCATTTAAAAGGTGTCCTCAATGGTTGGCAGAATGGCAGCCATGCATGATTTAATCATGTCATCTTGGTCCCTCTGCGGCATTCCTGCAGTGGGCGGAATCTGATTACCATCGCTGTTCTGGGCCGATGCTCCTTTGCTCCTCCTTCTCCTCTTAGGTGTTGACGCCATGTGTTAGAAGCTGAATATAAAGTACAATAAGAAAAATCAGATTAAATGTTGACTGGTTGAATTCTTAACCTCATAAGTAGCTTTTAACGCTTAGTCAGTTCAACCATTAATTACATGACATTGAGCTTTATATATAATCGTACTAGTGTACGATATATATCACTCAGGCTTAAACTACCTTGCAAATATACTGGGCATAACATAGCACAGAGGCATTGCATAAACTAAGAAAATTATGCAAATAAAGTGAGAATATCATAGCCCTAAGGCTTACCTTATGTATTTTCCACATTGCACATAAATGCAAATTACCCATAGCAGTTAGCTTAGGTTCATGTGAGCAATGCACCTATAACCAGCAAATTATACCAGAATAACATAGCACATTGGCTTCATGTTAACCTTGCACACAATGCTAGAATATTGTGGCCAGTATAGCACTTAGGCTTTATGTCAACATAATATGAATGGCAATTACGTAGCACTTAGGCTTTTTGTAAACTTTGCACTTGCAAGTATACCGAGAATAACATAGCACTGACTAATTGAGGCTAAGGTACTAAAAAACATAGCATTAGTGCTTCATATGAACATTGCACATAATGCAAGTATACTGAGAATAACATTACATAGCACTGAGGCTTAATGTAAACATTGCACATAATGCAAGTATACTGAGAATATAACATAGCACTCAGGCGTTATGAAATACATTGCACATAATGCGAATATACTTGGAATTGCATAGCACTAAAGCTTAGCGTATAACTGTATGTGCTGAAATTTGAAATGAAAATTAGGAACAAAGCAGTTACCTGTGTTCGGACAAATATATACAAATGTTTGGAACAGTCTTGTCTGTTGCTCAAAATATACACCTTTAACTATGGAATCCTACGCTGTATATCCTTGGTGCTGCTATAATGTTGGTATAGTCGTTCATAGATCGTTATTTATAACGCACAAGCATATAAAACATCCCTTTAAAGACAGTAAAAATATTGTGGATGTTTACATAAGGTAGAATGACTGCGCATGCGCTGACTAGCTAATATGCATAAAGTTAAAGTGCGCATGTCTGAACTAAAAATACTTCAATACAATGCTAAAGTCAATGTAAACAAATACATGTGTCCTGGTCATCATGCATAAACTATTTATTTACATAAATTTGTTTTCTTACACAGAAGGATAAGAAGGGAATGCTTGTGTGATATCAGTGAAAAAAATACTCATTTTCGAATTAAACATTGGTCAATACTATGGGTACAAACCCATTGCTTTATTCAGGAATATTTGACTGAAAAAATAAATCATGAATAAAATTTAATTTTTCCAAAATTTAATCTTTTCATTTGATCATAAAAAATTACATGCATTTAATCAATTAAAGGCAATGATGGTCTACCTTTCTAGCTTACATAGACGAAGTTGGCGTCAGTGTGGGCGTTAGCGGCGGCGTCCTGGGTAAACCTTAGAAGCAAGTCCATTCCAAAGCAATTCTCTGGTACATTCCATCATGACATGTGTACAATATAAGCATCTGTCATTAATTTTCATTGCGTGACGGTTATTGTTATCGTTTCAAGATAAACAAGTAATCAAATTCATATACAATAGGTGTAATATCAAATTTTAAAAAGAAAATACTATATAAGTCAGGACAACATTTGTCACATACTTGCCATTTGATTTGTTTGTATCTTAGCATGATTTCCTTCAAACCAATATATCTAGATATCTATTCATTCTTCATCAATGACATATTTTAAAATTTCAATTTAAAGTAAAACAAGCAAACATAATACTAGTATACATTAATAAAAGTTTTTAACATTTTAGCTTCAACTATGAAGATGGGCATATTTAAATATATTTAATTCTTTAGGCAGCTCATCGGGTTTGCATTTATTATAGTCATACAAAGTAAATAGTAACAAAAAAAAAACCAAGATAACTAAATGACTTAATTTTTCTTTACTTATACAGAAAAAAGGATCAACTCAACATTCAGATGCAAATGTATTAAAAAGATTTATATTCAATATAAATATAAATAAATGCAATAGGATTTTTATTAAAAATAACTTAAAAAGTTCACAGACGAGAACCAGTTTTTGAAATTCTAAAACAGAACAATGATTTTACATATCATTGTGTTTCAACGATCAGTAGGTATGAAGTAAAACCGTTTCGTTAAAGTGCTCCATGAACAAGGCATCTGAGCGTGTTCTTTTGTTCGGCGCCATCTTGGATCTAGAGCAATAATAGCCTTTACATCTACCATCATATCTTCGAGATGCACTGCTGTGTAGTTTGTTTCAAAGGTCTTTATACAATTAAATATGAAAATAGATCCGAAGTCTTTATAACGATAAGCTTTATAACCTGAAAGTAATATATATAACAACTAAAAAATGAAGAGAAAGAAGCAATCACTTTCTTAGAAACGTTTTCTAAAAATTATTATCAATGGTCATATCTTGTATGTATAAAAAAAAATTAAAGGTGCTTATACTAGACATGACAAAATATTTTATATCTTTGTAATATGGTTAATTCTGTCAAAATTTTAAAAGTGTTTTCAACGAAGAACTTTCGTCTTAAATGTCATCCATTATTTTCAGAAGTGCAAAACAATAAGTACATGTAATATGATGATGTCATATAATGTACGTATTCACCTTCGGTTGTTGCATGAGCAATAAGAATATCCCCATCAGTCGGTACCCTGATTCTATCACTATCCTCTTCATCAGTATCGGGCTGTACCAACGTCTCCTGATGTGACCCACCTCGACAACACTCCAGGTAAAACATTTTAGGTTTTCCTGAAACCAAAACAAAAAATATTTCAATTTGTCCAATTATCAAATCAAATTTTTGCAAAAATTGTAAAAGGCTTTATTCCAAAATAGAATTTAAGACGTTACTGTTAAATTTTCATAATTGAATATGTGATACATTCTTTATCTAGAGTTATCTGCCGTGTATGAGAAAAATCTGGATAGAGATTGTGTTTTGGTTATCTTACCTGTAAAATTCGGTACTTTGTCATTTTTAAAGTACTCCAAAATTTCTTCAATGCTGATTGTCATTTTCTTTTTCCCCTTATCGGCTGTTCGTACTCCAAACTATAATATCAGAAAGTATACTTAAGTGTAACTTCCTGATTTCTTTCGAAACTTATGAATTTATACTCCAATTAATTATTTAAATATAATCAGTTTCACATTTTTTATAACTATATTTGTTTAAAAGAGAAAAGTCACTTCTGTGTTGAAGGGAAAAAATCATCCATATTTCAAATATCATATTAAATTGTTTTTAATTTAATGCCACCAGGTGTTAAACCTATAGTAAATATTTTGAATTTTGTTTCTTATATATACATGTACTCGCTCATTCACCAAAAAAATATGTTAATCTTTCACTAAATCTTTTTTTACCCAAAATACTGTAAACGTAGAAATTTTGACGATGTGCTAATTTTGACTTTATTGACGATTCTTCTTTTCTCGTCAAAATTTACACTCGTCAAACTTCTTATCATATACATAGAGACACCACAGACATTGACCATTGTACAACTTTACCGCTAAATTTTTAACGGCTTTTTCGTTTGACAACGAGATCAAAGTCACTGTTAATTTCTTTTGTAATTAGTTATGAAAACATAGTGATATAAAATCACATTTTTAAAAACCATTGAATCTAAATTAGTGTATCAAATACTGCAAGCGTAATTTATCGTAATTATCACGCCGTGCTTGACTTAGTTTGTCACCTCAGGCATTTGACCGCTTACATGTATAATGAAATCAAATTACAAGAGGGCAATTTATTTAATCAAATCTTACACACATAGATAGTTTGTACAAAAATTAATTTTAAGTGATTCCAACGCTGCCTTTGTATCCCTGTGAATTCAAAGATTTGAAACTCTAGATTAAATATTTCGTCAAAATTAACACTCGTCAATTTTCGTAAACAAAAAATCGTCAATTTTTCAACTCGCCAATGTAACCACGTTTACAGTATCGGAGATAAAGAGAAACCTTTCCGTTTCTTGAAAATATGTAATTAACAGAGATTTGTTTCAATATAATTTTTTTTACCTTTCTTATTTAATCAATTTTCATAATTATTTTTCTTAAAGTGGTAATTAGAAAGATCTTTCAAACCTGACTTCCATGGCCCATGAGAAAAAATGTAAAACAATAATAGGCTTTTGAGTGCTCGTTTAGATGTCTGTAAGTGGTTTCGAGTACACTGATCAATTCTTCTTTTGTTGGATCTTTCACCACGTCTAATCTAAATCTTAATGTATGTTCCATAAATCTTTTAATGTTTTCTACGTCTATATCAGCCCCTGTTTTGAACGATAAAACATTATTTGATCGTACATGTATATATGAGATTTGTTTATTTTATGCTTAATATACTGTTGAAAATATATATATTGTTCTTTAAAATTACAGTCATGTTTAAATTATTCAGATTGCATAGGATGTGCTGCGTAGTTTCAATGATCTCATTTATGCATGACCATTATTAATAATTCATGCTTTAAAACTAAATGCAAATTAAATTTAAATGTGATATTCATTCCAGAAATATTGTTTGAAATGTGAGACAACTAGACTATTGGCATACAAATTATTCAAAAAAAGTACCGCTTCATTCATGTAGAATTTAAACGTTTAAAATATCTATAGTCTTTTTCTTACAATCTCTTTCCCTGCTGAAATACACGATTAAGACATAGCCAGTCTGCCCTGGTATGCATTCGTACGATCGTCTAACTGGTGAAATATCTTTAAAAATAAATTAAAAGGAAATAAATATTAACTTTAAAAACAGTTAAGAATAAAGTGTATGTGCCTACAGTTAAAATCATGCATTCGGCATCAGAAATAGAAGATACTTAGTTACTTAAGCAAATATGGATAATTACATAATTGAAATGATAAATACATAATTGTGTAACAGATTAAAATAAAAATAATTTATATAGTATGTGTCATCATGAAAAATGAAAATATTGTAGGAATATTTTCGATTAAAAGGAGTTTTACCTATTATCAATAAACAAGAATAGTTTTAAATATGAAAAATATTCTAAATATGATTTATCAAAAAATATTACAACACAAGTATATAAAGCATTGATTTTCATACTAAATGAAACAAATAGCTGAAAAATATTCTAAAAGAGTTTCTACTTCTCAACTTACAAGATTCATTGTTGACATTTGGCACAACTCCTGTCAAGGAATGTAGTATATAACTTCTCTGTAGAGCTGTAGAAGCAGAGTTTTGTTTAGCGTCCTTTTTAGATCTACCTCTCCCTTTGTGTTCCTCCTCTTTTTCTATTTTTCCTTCTTCGTTTTCAAGCATGATCAACACTCTGGAGACGAATTCGTCCGCATCTTTGTCGAGTTCCTCATATCTGTGTTTTATCTACAATAAGGCTAGTTTTAATTTCATCGTAAAAAAAAACTTGATACATTAAAGATATTCATTAAAGCTTATCAATGAGTTGATGATGATCATTGATATTTAATTAAAGTAACATTTACTATTGTGAGAAGAAAAAATCCAAAAGAAAAACTTAATTATAGCTGTTTTGTTTAACTTGCAATTAATTGGTAGTATATAATTAAGGAAACCGTTCTATAAATACAGACTCAATCCCTGTAAGAAGCGATACGCGGATTGGAAAATCTCGAAGGGTATGATTTTGTCTCTAGCAACGGATATTCCTTAACATTATTATACACATTTATCTCAATGTATGCATTTAAAATTTTGAAACTTGGCATTTGAATTTTTTCTCGATCACTTATGACGTAACCTTCCCAGCAAAAGAGCAGTTCATGTATTTAACATACCCTCCTATTTTGCTAACAAAGTTCATTTAGTTTTGTAACAGGTGTCTTTTTAGCTTTTTCTCTGGAGTAATTTTAGTAATCCAGATTTCTAATGCGGCCTCCGCTGCTTTATCTTTTGCTGCCGTTTTATTGTTTCCAATCCCAGTGTACACCTCTTCTCCCAGCGTTAAAGAAACA